GCGGCGGTAGCATGACTAATTTTTAAACGCATGACTATGGTAAAGGGTTCACATCGCCGGACAGGCCCAAACTGAGGGGCAGACTAAGTCGTATCCTACACGTCCTACTCCATCCTATCTGTTAAATCATTACTTTTTCCTATTTTTGTCTTGCCCTCCATAACGATGTGTTTCATATAGTACGTTTGCTCACTGGTTCCTTAATCTACGCATTGTGACATTCTTTACTTTTAACATCTTGTGCCACAATGCTTTCATCAATTCTATCGGCGCCTCCCTTGGTACCATTATCTGGCTCTGTTTTTCTTCTGACCCCCAGACGCTATTTAGGTTTCCGAGGCTAGGGAGTCTTTCTCATCTTCCTTCCTTATTTTCTTTAGAGTGTAGTAGACAGGTCTTACGCGGGTAGCACCCCAGAAGCAATCCTAAGTATGGAATGGTGCATGAATCAATCAAGGAGAAATGGTGGGATTCACTAACCTTGGGAATTAATTCATCCCTAAAGAGTTGGGATCAGGGTAAGGCTGGACTCACATCAACGCTATGGTGGAAGCAATCACCTAAGGGATGGGAACCCCTGAATATAAAGCCCGTCTCCAGGTTTGGGGGTTTTGCCTGTGGGCCAGCACCTGCACACGTAAAACATCGACACCGCTAAAAATCTCGTTATAGGAATATCGGAACTATTTCAAAAGGGAAACGACAGTCAGCAAAGAAAATGGACTCGAAATATTGTATATGGAATGTAGCAAAGTATATTCAACAATAAACAGAAGTAATCCAGGAAATGATGAGAAGCAACAGATATAGCCGTCTGGTCTGAAAAAATCAAAGCAACAAAGAAAGGCAGGGAACGAGACACTGAACACGCTTTGGTGCCCTTTTACAGTGGCGTAAACAACATGAGAATGGCAAAGGGACGGAATTTTCTATGTGTTTATTTGGAGAAAGATTCGGTAATTGTTAAATAAAGTTGGGAGTATATAAACGAACGTTATTAAAGTAGTGTTAAAAATCAGAGGAAAATACATAAGTGTGCATAGGAATATATATTTGGAATGATGATGCCCAGGCTAAGAAAAGATGAATTTTGAATGACAGTCAAAGAAACCCGTGACGGAAATTTCAAAGTCCGCATGAAATAATATTTTGGCGGCAGATTTTAACGGCAGAGTTGGAAGAGACGAGAACAATTTGTGGTCAACATGGTGGGAAACTTGCAATGACAATGGCAAAAAGACTTATTAATATTTGTGAAAAGAGTATGAAATGATAAATTAATAACAACTTTCTTCCAAACAAGATATTCATAAAGTATACTCTGGTACCAACATACAAAAAACTAAAAATCTTATAGACCTCTGTGTAACTAAACAAAAAATTTCACTCAAAGTCAAGATGTTAGAGGTGAAACGGGAGCCAATGTAGAGAGAGAGGCATGGAGACTGAGAGCGGAGAAACGGCGACAGCTGTAGAGCAACTCCGTACTATATATAAGTCCAGGAGAAAAATCAGAAATGAAATAGATTATATTTTATGTAATGATCTAACGATACTCTGATGTGGATGTAATTAAAAGTTTACATTTTGACACCGACCACAGAATGGTGAGGGCAACGATAAACATCAATCAACAATTAGGAAGAAGACTTCATAAATTCAAAAGAATAAAACCAAATTACGCTGACATTAAGAAATACAGAGAGATCACTCAAACTTCAGAAAACAATGAAGAAAATAACATTCAAAGTTCGTATAAAAACCTAGAAGAATGCATAAAAACAGCAATACAAGAATCAAACGCAACAAAGTCAGACATTAGCAATCAGAAACTAAGTAAAAACACAGACTTGCTACAAAAACGATAAATTTGAGTGTAAGTAATCCAACTTAACAAATACAATATAAAGAAATTAAGTAACAAAAGGAGAAATCTGAAAAGATCTAAGAAAATACTAGACATAATGAACTCTTCAAAATCCCTGCGCAGAATCAAAGAAGAATTAAATAAAGGAAGAAAGTGGATCAAACACCTTAAATCAAGTAATGACAAAACAATTA